GCGGTCATGGTGGTGACGGCGGCGACGCAATGTGGCCTCACCTGTGTTCGGATGGCGGCGCTAGCTGCTCGGGGAGGTGGAGTAGGTCACGACAGAGCTACGTGCGAGACGAATCGAACGGCGGTGCTGCGGTGGTGGCGTGCTCGGCCGGCCGTGTTACAATTGGCACTGACATATGGTCAATCAAAAAAAATGCAAAATAGCAAATGCACAAAAATATGGTCAACTTTATCAGAAGCACCTTACATGTATTATCATATGCTCAAATTGCAATAGGTACATCATCAGCAGTGGCATATGCTCAGACAAAAAAAAAATAAAGCAACACCATAAGCACACAGCTAAGACAAGCTCTGTTTCGTCTGCCAAAACACAGACCTTATGCGTAGGCACAATAAATCCATACATACAAGAAAGAAAATCAAGGGAGCAGAGACATAAGGTAGAAAATGAGATGAAGGGGATTTTTTTTATGTTACCGTACCAAGACCAAGCAAGTTGGGGGAGCTAGAAATAGAGCAGAACACTAATTTGCAGCATATTTATAAGGATACAATCGTATAGAATGTTTGTCTTCTTTTATCCTTTATTAATCAGGGTAGAGGTGGATATTAGAGAAACAACAATAACACTATAAGACTATTCCAAGTTACTTTTTTCCGTAATGGTAGTGATTGATGACAATTCATATTAATGTAGTATTTTCTAAACCTTAAGAACTGAACTCTTTTCCCCCCCAAATACCAGTTGGGATTAGTTAGATTTAATTTGTTCCCTCCATCTTATATAAGGTATTAAAGTATGAGGTAGCTGATAAATAGTGATATGACAATTTCCTGTGTATAGATACACATATCAGAGCAGAACGTTTTCATTTACAAGGGAAAAATAACAAAATATATACGTAAAGGATATTGGGTTTCTAGATGGGGCACACTTATCTGTGTAGCTGCAATAGGTAATCGGCGCCGAAGACGAACGGAGAAGAGCAATGACACAACAACAAAGACATCGAAGGCCGAACCCTCGAATTGAAGACGTAGCCACTTACTGTTGCAGAGATCTGAGAGAAGAAAGGCATCAAATTTGGGGATCCTAGAGGAACCGTAAGGAAGAGAAGGAAACAAGCTGAAATCAATTTGGAAAAACAAAAACAAAACCACATCAGAAGAAGTAACAAGCATTGAGCACGTGCATAGGTAGCTAGGGCTTCGTCAATCAGAGGAGCACATGATCCTCGGTGGGAGGAGGCATTGAGGAGCCCGTGCGGAGGATGGGAGAGAGGTAGGGACCGCTGGGCCCCAACCGCGCCAGCGCGCCGGACGCAGGGGGCGCGGGCGCCGCCGCCGCCTTGAGAGGGAAGGGGACAGAGAGAGGAAGGGGAGGGAGAAACGGAGGTGAGAGGAATGGGAGGGAGGACGGAGGAGAAGGCCGAGGAGGGCAGGCGCCGTCGCTGAGCCTCGGTGGTCGAGAGAGAGGGAGAGCAAGGGGAGGCGCGGGCGGGGGCGCGAGCTGCGGGAGGACGGGGAAGAGGCCGGTCTTTTTTCTTTTTTCTTTTTTTTTGCTGGAAGGATCGCGAAGGGGAATCGGAAGCCCGCGTATATATTTGGTGGGCCAACTCCAGAGCAGAAGCCGCGCAACACTGAGAGAAGCAGAGGGAAAGCCGATGGAAGCGAAGGAGGAGCGGCAGAAGCCGCTTTCGGCAAAATCCGCTCCAATCAATCACGGCCGCACGATGGAAGATCCTACGGCCACGAGATTTTGGAGCGACGTGGACCCTGCTTCTCCTACCAGAAGCAGGCGGCTTATTTAGGGGAGAATGTGCCATGTATGCAAGCGTGGCACATTGAGAATCCAATGCCATTAGCCATCAAACCTTAAATCCTTCGGGGACTCTTTAGAACGCTAGAAAAAATTCTGATAGACCCTTCATATTAGGTGGCATATTGGTTTGCTATAAAAGGTGACCGATGAAAGAGAGAAGATAGATGAAATCAGAGAGTTATCGCATTGCTAGGTGGACTCTTCATATTAGGTGGCACACTGGTGTGCTATATAGACGAATACAAAGTGACCATGGAGGTTATAGGACCTTGAGTGACCTGCTCCTTCTGGTGTCACCGGTAGGTGGTCACAAATAGGTGACTTTTATAGTTGTATGAAGCCAACCATTTTAAATATTAACTACTATCTTTGTTTTGAAGGGCTGTTTGATATGGCTTTTAGGAGCTCTTGCTCCATCTGCATCCGACTCTAGTAGCCTAAAAATTAACTAGAGAATGGAGAAGCCAACGGTGGGTGTGGGTGGGGTTAATAGCTCTACAATAGTAGTGCTATAGTAGATGAGCCAGAGCCTTAGTGCCACACCAAATGGGTCCTAAGTTTACTCTCAACAAGTAATGTAATTTGTGGTCAGAGCTTAAAATGATCGACTTCATGTAATTTTAAAACATTATTCCATCCATTTCAAATTATAAGTCGTTGTGACTTTTCTTAGACACGTAGTTTTTACTATATAGAAGTTGTTTTTGACTTTTTTTAGATACATACATATTAAAAAAAAGTCAGAAAAATTTACACTTGGAAATGGAAGAAGTACTCAAATGTGACAGGAGAAAGTATGTAACAATTTAAGAAGTTAGATTAGCATTTTACTGGTTCGCATACTAGAGTAATGTTCAAGGAGCCTGTCAATGCAATTTATTAATGCATGCATGGCATGATATATCTACCATTTGGCTGATTCATAACCATGATTTGTTAGTTTGATCTCCGCCAATCGGCCGTTGGGCCTTTGGATCCGCGCCCTGATCGGGGGCGCCCAACCGCTCCTTGGTTGGTGGGCCCCCGTCGCACAGCACCATAAAAGAGAGGTGAGGGCCGGGCACAAGCTACGAGGTTCTCCTGAGCCGCCAGACCCCCACCGATGTTCTAACCCTATCCGATCTAAAGAGAAGGGTGCTGCCAGCGACGGAAAGCCGCCACCGACCTCACCGTCGCCTCTGTATCGCCATCACCGTGCCTACGCTACCACGACACCGCGTCCACGTTGCTGCGGCGCCATGGACCCAACTGTGCTAGGGCGAGGTACATCAACAGTTCCCCATCTAAGAGCAGTTTATGCCCTGATCTACGATTCTAGAGGTACAGTGATCCTATCATAATTGTATTATGATTTTTGTTTTTGGCGATTGGTGGTAGCATTATTGAGGATCTCGTTGCGACGAGCCACACGATCAGAAATCTGAATCACGGACTCATTGGTGTAATATCGTAGCAGCAACTTGCGATTGCACAATAAATTCACAGTGGTCTATACACGAACATAATCCTGTACAAATTAGCTGGCACGTGACATCATGATTTGCCGTGCCAATCGTCAGGTATAGGTCCGGTTCGGCACAACTCATAACAGCTTCATGAGCTACTATGAGCTATTTTTTTGCCAAACACTTATTTCCAAAATAGCTTTATGGATGAAGCTGTTTTTTCTCTCTCTCACAAAGACATGAGTTAAGATGAAGCTGAAAAAAATAGCTTATCCAAGTTTTTACCCACACAAGTGGGCCCAGCCTGCACTAAAGACCGCTCTTGCCCTCATTGTGTGTGTGAGAGAGAGCAGGGGAGGGAGCAGGCGTACGCCAGCCTACAGGGCGCGACCGCCGGAGCGTGGCTCATCGGCGCAGGGTGTGGGCGCGGCCGCTGAGCATGCAGGGCCGGGACGCTCCCCGGAGGTGCGGGCGCCGGGGCGTGGTCGTCGGAGGCGTAGCCGCCAAAGGCGCGGGCCTGGGCATGGCCCACCTGAGGTGCAGTCGCCGGGGTGTAGCCGGACATTGGCCCCTATCGGCGGGGGGCGCGGTCGGCAGGGGTGGGCTGCCGGAGCGCCGCCCGTCGGAGGCACGGTCATCGGAGCACGTGACCACTGGGGGCGTGGCCGCCGGGGTGCGCTGCCAGCTGGGGATGTGGCCACCGGCACGAGCAGCTCGGCCATCGAAGCCATGCGCGGACGCCGTCTGGGCCACGCATGGATGCATCGTGAGAAATGACGCCGCCGCATGAGATCGCGAAGAAGACGATTGAGACCCATGAGCAGATAAGAAATAAGAAAAAAGAAAAGAAAAGAAAAACGAAGGGCATTTTAGTCATTTATTTAATTTGGTCCATTCTACAAATATGTTTTACCAAACACTTTTTTTTAAACAACTTGGCTTCACAAAGAAAACTGATTGTGAAGCTGTTTTTCAGAAAAAACAGCTTTGTTGATGAAGCTGAGATGTGCCAAACGTGACCATAGTACCAAAACTGGAATTCACGTAGCGTGCTTCGCTGTAGCACCTAAACCTGTGTTCGAGAGTCGAGACAATCTTTCAGCTAGCGCTACAGTTAAGATTGTCTCCAACAACTGCGACCCAAAATATAAGACTCATTTGTTATTTGGATAGCGGTACAAGCAAAGGGTTTAATACATATTTTTGTTCTTCTCCGATAACAAGATCTAAAAGACGATCTTTTCTGCAAATGAGTCTTCGGAAGAGAGAATACTTAGATTTGGATTATGTCTTTCTCAGCAACTAAAATATGTTTTAGTATTCTATTAAAAGCTATAGATATTATATTAAAAACCTATTTTAAATTTGGGTTTCACGATGGATCTCCCGTTGGGGACAGGCTAACGCAGGCGAAACCGTCTCGATCGATTGGCCTAGTACCGGATCGGACGCAACGGCAGGCAGCATCTGCTCGATGGTGTTTTGCCTCCGACGCTAACCCGCCATCTGATCTTCTTCTGATCTTGAATTCTGAAGCAAAGATTTAAAACTGCCCTGGAAAAAAAGAGAAAAAACAAAGCCAAAAAAAAAAAAAAACTGCTGCATCGCCCGAATCGCACCGGCCACCAGCCAACTCCCCCTTCCTTCCTTCCAGATCTCCCCGCCCCGCATCTCGCCCGCCAGCGACCGGCGAGGGGGCGCGCGCCCGCCGCCGCCTTCGCCGCTGCCGCGATGTACCTGGCGTACGGGTGGCCGCAGTCGATCCCTCTTGACCCGGACGACTCGGACCGCGTGGTCCTCCTCCGCGTGCTCGGCCGCCTCCTCCTCGCTGTCTGCCCGGCCTCGCTCCACCTCTGGTCCGCCGCGCAGCACCAGGTCCGCCTAGCCCGCTCCGACCGCTCCCCGGAGTCCCTCGCCGCCCACGGCCACAACGCGCACGCCGTGTGGAGCCCCGGCGCCAAGACCGTCGCCGTCCTGGTCAGCCCACCCCCTCCCCTGACCACTTCGCTCGCTCCTCCGCGCGCAGGCGCGGCAGACTCACCATGCTGTTTTTGCGTGCTGTGTGCAGACCACTTCCTTCTACCTCTACGTTTACAAGGTTCAGCTCTCGGGGAAGCAACTGATCGTCGGTGGCAAGCAGGTCCCGGGGCTTTGCCTGGCTAGTATATCCCTAATCATCACCGAGAAGGTTCCTCTCGCTAATGGCGTTGCTATAACGTACTGTGTTCGCCGCTCCTTAACTCTTCCTCTACATACAAAATGAGGTGCTCCACTAGCGCAGGGGAGCTGACTTGTAAGTTTGATCTCGTGTTGCAGGAGTAATTTCGTGTGTGACAGCAAAAGCATGCTCCTCGGACTATCCAATGGGCATGTGCAGGTCGTGTCCTGGAACGCTGAGGTACATGGAAATGCATGCAACTTTTGTTTATTGTAAGTTACTGATTATTAGGTGCGAAATATAGGTCTGTTGTACCCACTCTTCCTACTTGGTATGTTAAGTGTTGTCTATGTATTTTGTTGTTGCTTGCCAGTTCTCAGACAGCTTCAAGCTTGGTTGCTCTGTGTGTTCGTCTGAGAAACCTACTGCTGTCGTAGATGCATTGGTGTTTGATCCTCCCAGTTTGCGAGAAAACTCTAACGCAAGGCCTGCTCCTTGCTGCACAAGCAATTCTTCTATTGTCCATGTTGAGCTGTCGGTGAAGCTAAGGTTGCTGGTTGCTTTGTACTCAGGCTGTCGCATTGCCCTCTGTACTATTGGTAAGAAGGGATTAAGGCAGCCTGGCAGCATCAGAGTGGAGAGATGGTTGGACACTGATGATGCGATGTGTACTTCTGTCGCTTCGGAGCAACAGATTCTTGCTGTCGGGTGCAGTAGAGGTGTTGTTGAATTGTATGATCTGGCAGAAAACACACGGCATATACGAACCATTTCGTTGTATGATTGGGGGTAAGTCTCGCATGATATTTTATTGTTCACAAGCTGTAGTAGCTGTTACATGGATACTTCTGATTGACTGCCCTAACAGTTGATTTCAAATTTGTGAGACAACCCTACCTGGCACTTTGTCTGGATAAAGTTATTAGCATTATGTTTTTATCTTGTGTTTAGGTTTGATCATTTCCTTTTCCCTAGAGTTATCCATTCTTTACATTTCGTGGACCTTCTGTGGTAAAAGGTGTAACCATGCCAGTTCACACAACTCTACTTTTTGGTTATTCTATTTGAAGTTGAGATGTAACTACTACTTTTCCTTCTTTTTTGGATAAAAATTGTAGGTATTCAGTGGAAGATACCGGTCCTGTTGCCTGTATATCTTGGACGCCTGACAATTGTGCTTTTGCAGTTGGGTGGAAATTTAGGGGACTTACTGTATGGTCTGTGTCTGGATGTCAGTTGATGTGTACTATTCGTCAAACTGGTTCAAATTCTGCCTCATCTCCAATGGTGAAACCCAGCGCTCTAAAATTTGAGCCTCTTATAGGAGGAACATCACACATTCAATGGGATGATAATGGATATAAGTTATTTGCTGTCGAAGAAAGCTTGTCAGAAAGGGTTCTTGCTTTCTCATTTGCCAAATGTTGCCTAAATAGAGGGCTTTCCGGCACAACATATTCCCATCAGGTTCTTTATGGGGAAGATCGAATCCTTCTGGTGCAACCGGATGATGCTGATGAACTGAAGATATTGCATCTTAATGTTCCAGTTAAGTGTTAATTTTATTGCCTTTGATTTATTTGAGGGGTTAAAATGCTGCAACCTCTGTTGTTTGATGATGCATTTTAATGATATAATATATATTTTTCAAAGTAGGTTTCATACATTTCCCAGAACTGGCCAGTTCTACATGTGGTGGCAAGCAATGATGGGATGTACTTGGCAGTTGCTGGCTCTCATGGGCTAGTGCTATATGATTTACGAAATAAAAGGTGGCGGTTTTTTGGTGATGTTACACAAGAGCAAAAGATACAATGCAAAGGCCTATTGTGGCTGGGAAAAATTGTTATTGTGTGCAACTATGTTGAATCGTCAAACACGTGAGTTCTCACTTGTATACCATCTTTCTTGCTATTCCTATCTTGTAACTGACTTGGCCCCGTTTGGTGGAGCTTCGGTCGGCTTTGGCTCCAGCTCCTCCGTGCACGTTAGCAAGGAGCTGTTTTTATCTCTCTTCTCAAAATGAGCTAGGAGCTGGTGAAGCCACTATTTTTGGCTTCACTAGCTCAGGCTCCTCTGCGCACTGTAGCAAGGAGCGGGAACCGTTTGGAGCAGTGCCAAACGGGGACGAAGGCTCACCTTTTCTGGTTAAGCATGGCAGAAAGCTCGCAATTTGGAGTTTCTCGCATTGAACTGTGTTCCTTGAAATACTAGCTGAACTGCATTTTTCTGCTTATATTTTTATCTCATTTTATTAACTTAGGCCTCCAATGCCTTTCTAATTACAATATATTTTAGTCACAGACATGTTTCATTCTTTTGGCTCAGGTATGAGCTTCTCTTTTTCCCAAGATATCATCTTGATTATAGCTCTTTACTCTACCGGAAACCACTGCTTGGAAGGCCAATTGTCATGGATGTTTTCCAGGATTATATATTAGTTACTTATAGTCCATTTGATGTGCATATCTTCCATTTGATGATCTCGGGAGAATTGTCACCTGCTAGCAACCCAGTTTTACAGGTAATGTCCGTCATGAAAGAAATTTGCAACCCCAATTCAGAATGTGTTTCCAATTTTTCTCTGTGAATAGTTATTTTTATTCTTTGTACGGATGAACAGCTTTCAACAGTGCGAGAACTTTCAATCATGAGTCCAAAGAGCCCACCTGTTTCAATGCGATTCATTCCTGAACAAAATGACAAAGGAGTGCTGAAACGAGATACTAATGGATCCTCTGATCTTTTGTCCCAGCAACCATCAAGGTACTTCACCCCCCCCATAATGTTACACGACCCTTTTCTCCTCTGTTGCTATTGGTTTTTATTTAGTTATTTATGATATCAGATGTTTGATCTTGCGGACCAATGGGGAGCTTTCTGTGCTTGACATGGATGATGGACATGAACATGCTCTCACAAACTCAATTGAACTCTTTTGGGTCACCTGTTCCCAATTTGAAGAGAAGGGTAGTCTTATCAAAGAGGTTTCATGGCTTGACTATGGTCATCGGGGTATGCAGGTTAGATTGATCTTATTATTTTGTACATAATCACTTCAGCATAGATGCCTCTTTTAGGGGATAGTTATTTTTCAAATATCCCTTTCTACCCTTTTCTAAATAAAGCTGGTTGCAGGTGTGGTACCCATCACATGGAGCAGATCCTTTTAAGCAAGAGGATTTTTTGCAGGTATAAGTTTCTATCATGAGATAATTGTGAATATCCGTTTTAAGTTTTTCCACCTTTACGTGGAACTTGCTGTAGTCATAATATTTTTTATATTCTGTTCCTCTTTTAAAAAAAAAAATCGTTGAACACTCATACAACAACAACAACAACAACAACATAGCCTTTCAGTCCCAAGCAAGTTGCAAGTTGGGGTAGGCTAGAGTTAAAACCCACCAAGAGCCCCAAGTCACGGTTCAGTCACTTCAATAGCTGCTTTCCAAGCACTCCTATTCAAACATAGATCTCTAGGTATATCCTAAGCTTTCAAATATCTTTTTATTGCCTTCCCCCATGTCAATTTCGGTCTTCCTCTACCTCTCCTCATATTATTAGCTTGGCTTAGGACTCCACAATACACTGGTGCCTCTAGAGGTATCCTTTGGACATGGCCAAACCACCTCAACCGATGTTTTTTTTAACCTAAAATACTGCAGGGGAGGCCTCCACAGTAAAGTTTTTATTTAAAATAAAGCGAAGCCCAACAACTGTTCGAGAAACAAGGAGAAGAACTGTACAAGAGCAGAAGGAAAGAAGAGGGGTCCGAGGTGGAGCAGAGAAGAATGCAACTCCACAACTGAAAAAGGGAGAGAGCCAACAACACTAGACTAGGACTGCTAAAAGGAATAAGAAAATCGCTCTTTTAGAGTCACAGAGTCTAAGAGCCTGTAAATTAGCTTCATCCAAAAAACTTTGCTTCTAGGAGCTAAAGGAAGGGCGACCACGATCAAAGATGAAATTGTTCCTCTGCTTCCAGATTTGCCAAGCTCCAATGATGAAGATCTCCATGAAGAAAGGGCTCTGAAATTGCTGCTTAGCTTGAATCAGCGTATGAAAGAAGTCCATGGAGAAATCCCAATGGATGCCAAGGTACTGCCAACAAGCTTGGCTAAAAGGACAGCTGAAAAAGAGGTGAAAGGCAGTTTCCTCCAAGTTGTTGCTGCAGAGTATGCAATTGTAGTTATTTCCTTCTAGCTTGTGCTTTTTTCTTTTGAGGACGTTCCTTGTGTTGAGCCTATCCATTAAAAGAAGCCAGGAGAAGACCCTGAGCTTATTGGAACATCTGGAATCCCAAACCCAGATGAACGGAGCAACGGAGCAGGAGGTTGGATGTTCTTGTAAGGGAGATTGTAGAACTTTGAGGAAGAGTAAGTCTTGTTTCCTCAACCGGTGTTGGACAAGCTTTTCTTCAATTGGTGCTACCCCTAGGCGATCACGTATATCATCGTTCCGAACTCGGTTCATTCTTGTGTGACCATAAATCCATCACAACATACGCATTTCTGCAATACTCAGTGCCGTCACCGAACTTCACCGTGCCGGTCACGTCGTCGTCGAGCTCGGAGAAGGCTGCCTTGTAGCCCGTCATGTGGTTGCTGGCGCCGGAGTCCAGGTACCACCGCTGCTTTTGCTCGCCGCTCACACATCCGAGGTGGACTTGGGCGCGCGGTTCGTCGAGGTTGACAACCTTCAGAGCATTCCCAGGCCTTTCCACCGCCATCCCCTCTCCCTTCTCCTTGGCCTCAACGTTGTGCAGTGCACAGAACGTCGCCATCAGGAGAGTCGCCTCATCATCATCATCAGCCTGCGCCAGATGAGCCTCAGCCTTCTTCTCCTGCTTGCGATTTGGGCACTCCTTTGCCCAATGGTCCGTCTTCCCGCAGCGTTGATAGGCGTTGGGGTCGACCTTCTTCTCCGAAGAAGCCTTGCCGCGGCGCTTGCCATCGCCATCGCGGCTGGAGGAGGCTTCCCCGGACTTCTCCTTCATCCGGGCAGCCCACTCCTCTTCTGTCAGCAGCAGCTTGTCGTTGTCCGTCGTTGCTGTGGCCTGCTCCATGCGCTCGTCCACCGTCCGTAGACGACCTGTCACATCCTCAATGGTGAGTGTGAACAAGTCCAGCATCGTCTCTATGGAGAGAGCAATCTGGATGTACTTCGCCGGCATGGAGTGGATTTACTTGGAGACCGCCTCTTTTTCGTCGATGGTGACGCCGTGGCTCCTCATTTTGCTGATGAGTGTCTGCAGGCGGAGGGAGAAGTCCTCCACCGATTCACCATCCTTGAAGTTGAGGTTGGCGTACTCCCGCTTCAACAGTTGGGCCGTCGCCTTCTTTGCACGGTCGGAACCAACGCGTATCGCCGCAATGGCCTCCCACGCCTCCTTAGCAGTGCTCTTCGCCCCCAACGGCTCTCTGTACTCCGCTGGCACAGTAGCGAGGATGGCTTCCAACGCTGACATGTCGTCTTCTTCGTTGTCGGTGCCCTTGTCAATGGCATTCCAGAGCCGTCAGGCTCTGAGCTTGACCTTCATGGTCACCATCCATTCGCCATATTTGGTGCGAGTCAGCGTCGGCCAACTGGTGCTGCTGACCTCCCGCACCGTGCGCACAACGACCTCCTGTCGTGGCTGGGCAGCCACAACAGCGCCGCTGCTGTCGCCCATCTCCAAACCATCCTTTATCGTCAGCGGTTAGTCCGGCGACGGCGCTTGTACGACTCCGATACCACTTGTTGATCTCTGGCTGCCCTGCACAGGTAAGCAACTAGCTTACCAGCATACACACTCACTCACTATGGCTAGAGATAGAAGAAGAGATTGAAAACAGCGCACACACACTCAGCACAAGCACCAGCGTTGGTCGAAGCCCTGCCCTTTGGTTTGTGGCAACTGAACTAAGTATTCCATTGCCCTTTGGATGGAATATATACAACTCTAGCTGTGCCTCTACCAGGTACATAGTTGTTGGCCAACCACCTACTCCTGAGTACAAGAGTACACCAACCACCTACTCCTAAGGTACAGGGTATACCAACTATTTACTTCTAAGGTACAGAGTATACCATCTACTCCTAGCAGTACAAAGCTTACCTTAACCCACTACCAAGACATGGTTGATGTAATAGCTACCAACTAATGTACTAGAGGTGGCATATTGCAATACTACTACAGCTATAGGAAGTGGTATGCAGAGCCGATTAGTCCCCAACTCTCAACAGAAAGTGGTCGGCCGAGCCGATCAGTCTCCAACCAAGGAGAGAATGAGGAGCAGCAGATTATGTCTAACATCTTTTGAGTCGCATCCGCTCCCTTTGGTCACTCCAAGCACCTCCGAAGCAACCTTCCGAACGCATGTTGTCATGTTCTCCTACATGCTGTTTGCATCGCCTTTATCCTTCCTAGGGCTCTCTTCAATGACCTATTCCTTAAAGACCTTTGATGCCTCATTTTTTAATTTCTACCACTTCGTTCTAGCAACCCTAACTTGTTTGTTCCCACGAGCTTGCACCAGAAAGCGGAAGTCAGCCACCACCAGCTTGTGTTGAGTGACTACACATTCTCCTGGTATCACCTTACTGTCCACGCATGTTCGTTTATCCCTCCTTGTAAGGACAGTTAATTTGACTAGAGTACCGGTCGCTACTTAAGGTTACTAAATGGGATTGTCTCTTACGAAAGAAAGTGTTAATTATCATCAGATCAAAAGCTATAGCAAAGTCTAAGACTACCTCTCCCTCCCGGTTTATACTACCATATCTAAAACCCCCATGAACCGCCTCGAAACCTGCACTTGATGTACCTACATGGCCATTAAGATCACCTCCTATAAAGAACTTCTCGCTACTAGGGACAGCTCTAACCAAGCGGTCTAAATCTTCCCAGGAAAGCCGCTTAGCACTCTCATCATGGCCTACTTGGAGGGCATACGTACTAATTACGTTAGACCATATCACTAATGACAAGTTTAACTAAAATGATTCTATCCCCTTGCCTTCTCACCTCCACCACATTATTCTTGAGGCTCTTATCAATCAAAACTCCTACTCCATTTTTATTTGAAGTTGTCCCTGTGTACCAGAGCTTGAAGCCCGTATTGTCCACCTCCTTCGCCTTCTACCCCTTCCATTTCATACAACCAGAGTTCTTAGAAATACATTATTACAGTACCAAGTTCAAAGTGCGGAATTTAAACAGCGGAATTACAATAAACATCTAACGGTAGAATACAAGGATCCGTCTGTGTCCACCAGAAGAATCCTCCACACAACAGCTACTCTTCAAGCTACACTTGCAACAGGGGTAAATAAACCGTGAGTACACAATGTACTCGAAAGACTTACCCGACTAGTGGGAATAATTTCTTGACTCCAAAAGATATGATAAGCTTTATGGATTGCTGGGTTTCCTTTTTGCGGAAAGCAATACTAGTAGTGAATCCTTATGTATGTTTCTTATTAGCAATCATGATTAGTTCATTATCTAACCATTCTAGGTAAACACCTGTTCTATTTTCAAACAAGAGTTGAGCAAACAGATCAATTTCACCATCTTTCATTTTTCAGTTCTTACTACGGTGCTAGATTGTAGACAAGTCGTACCGGATTACCCGGCGATTCGTGAATCAATGTGCCCAGCTGGGTACCCTGAAACACACGCCCCGCTCGTACCCCAGGCACAAGTAGGACCAACCCATCACTCTCCTGTCAAGGGGTCCAGATCCCTGTCCAAACTTGGACTCCAAGCCTTCACACCTGAGTCCCGGACTCAGTGTGGTGCTTAGACCTCCACCATCCCCGTCTCCAATCAGTCGGTCCGGAAAGAGTCGGAACCCACGACAATAGAGCAATGAGCCTTCCCTGCTCCCATAAATAAGTATGTGCTCAGGATAATAAGTCTGTGACCTTACTAGAATCTAATGCAACGACCGGTCCTTAACCGACACGGACAGGAAAAACAGTGTAACCAAGCTATGCCCCGTTGGCCGCGGGACACAACCTCTTACACCCACCAATACCTGTACCATATCCCTGTCCGGTCTCTATTTCTTTTCATTATTTAATCATGAGAGTGATAATAATAATCACCTATTGTGAATAATGGCAGGTTACTCACGCTACCGAAAAACCTAAGCATAGCAGTTACTCGACCTAATCTAGTAGGACTCATAGGTAGGTATATCTATGCATGTAGTTTCAATATCAATCCTGTAACGTAATTGCACATCATATATATATTTCCAGTGATTATTCAAAATAAAGGTTATGTACCGGGGCTTGCCTTGGGCAGGCGTGATGTCAGCTCAGTCAGTCAGTGGCGGCTCCGGGACCTCCTGCACGAGAATCTCCTCGTACTCTTCAATCACCTCCTCGAACTCGTGATCTCCGATGGTCACGATCTCCGCCAACTCGTTCTCTATATGCATGCGATGATGATGCAACACTTAGCATTAAGGTAACAACAACTCTTAAAACAAGAATACACATGGTAAACTACTAAGCTAGCTCTAGTGACTAGGATACTAAACTAACTATCATCTTCATCAGGTAAAGTGTTGGGTTCAACTAACAAACACCTAGCTTTACAAATGAAGAATATATCTTTATTTCTACTAATGATTTAATGTATATTTTAAACAAAGAGCATTTAACTACCCTTATGTTGAGTCTATTCTACAGCTACAAAAATTACAGTGAGCATATAATAATACAATGAACCTACTGTAAAAATTTCAGGGTTTTTGCTATCACCAATCTACCACAAAAATTCCTACAATTATTTAACCTAATCATATTAAGCACTCTCAAATGATTCAATAGCCACTGGTATCAACAAATATATATATGAACTAAATACACTAACAGATAAAGCACAATTTTAGGAACCTAACAAAACTGGTTTCACAATTTTTGGACATCTACAAAATTTGCTATAATTTTTCAAGGATCAACTCAAAACTAAATTAGAGAAACATTTGCTAATTCACTGGAAAAAGGAAAAGCAATTCTCACGCGGCCCATCCATGCTGCCCACACTGCTGCTGCTGCAGCGCCGCCCCCCGAAAGCAGCCCACCTTGCCAAAGCGCGGCTCATGCATGGAGAGTCTCCATGCAGTCATTTTTTTTTTGCAAAAGAGACCTTGCATTTCCCCCAATTCGCAACCAAGGACCAACACTATTTTACTTACTCACAGACCCTCTCACTTAACCCCTGGGCTTTCTCTAATTTACCTCACGCTACGCCAAGGCGGCAGCTCGATCTTGTCGTGGCCGAGTGGTGGTGGTTTAGCATCGGCCAAGCCGGGCACTTGGACCGCCATCGCCCGACGGTCGGACCAGCCTCCATCCCCGGTTCAACCAGCTACACCTAGCGGCCTTGAAGCTACCAGGACGCTACCGGAGCCCGACCACCAGCGATCTGTGCCGTCCGTCTTCGACGACGGCGCGATCGCCCGGCGAACTCAAGCATCAACGAACCCATCTAGCTAGTGAGTGAGCATTAACAAACCAAGTGAGCCTAGTCTGCGGTGACCGTTAGCAAAGAGAGAGTGGCGGAGAGGAGTCACACGTGCGGTAAATGAAACGTCTTGTGCGGCGCCAAGACCATGGCGGCATTTGCCGCCTCGGCAAGAGGTGGAGCTGGTAGCGACTAACCCGAGGCACGCATGATGAAGAAGAGGAAGGCAAGGCACACCCACCGGCGTGGGCAATTGGGTTCGGGTGGAGGGATGGGAGAGTCCGCCTCGGTCATTGCCAAGGCGCTGCCTTAACGGGCGACCGGCGGAAGACGCCAAATTGGCGCTGGCCGCCGCCGTCATCAAGGCGGTCGCGGGGCTCAAGCGACGAGGAGACGTGGAGGCGAGGTGCGGGCGAGCCGAATTGAATAGAGTGACCTATCTCTCGGCGCGCTCGTCGTGGCGCAAGGCGGCGGCGGCGGCGAGATGGGAGAGCGAGCGAGGAGCGGTGGAATGCGGCGAGCGCTGTGCTGCGCCACGCGCCTTGGCGGGGCGCGGTTGACGTAAGCGCGATGACCCGTCTAAGCACTACTAGCGAATGAGCACGCAGCGTGTTCACGTCGGCGGCTTCGCCCCAAGGCCGCAGCGCCATCAATGACGTGATTTACGGCGGGTGCAACCACGCAGCACGGAATGAAACCGGGCGTATGCGAGCATTGCATGGCCGCGGAACACGAGCGCTGGGAAGCGATGGCGTGGCGATGGGTGTGTCGCGATGCACGGCGGACTTAGCGACAAAGCGCGGCGTGGCGACCTCACACACAAGCCGCCTTATGACTATTCCCACGGCACACGGCCAGCCCGGGCAACAACAACACGGCAGCAGCGCGCGCACCGACGCGCGACGTCGACCAACGACCTGCTGATGACCAAGGTCCACGCGGGAAGCAAACCGGAAACGTGTTGTGCACGGATTTTAAAGCTTCTACCGTGACCAAACCGTTACTCCTAAACATAAACGGTCTTCACTACACTCAAGATGGTATATGAGGCTACTTAATCAAGCTATAACACTACATCGCTCTTTAACCCAATTCCTCAAAATAGTTTGCTAAACGTAGCAATGTCTAACTGTCAATAGACTTGGAAATTTTTCTAAGTTTTGAGTTGAACTCTATTTCAAATTGCATTTCTAAGCTATTGGAAATATTAGCTAGCAAGGTTATTTTTCAACAGCAAGTATTTCATCATCTTCTACAAAGTTCACACTCCAAACTTTATTTAAGCCCCATAGATAAGTTCATAGTAATTTTACTCCATAAAAATTGCTTTACAACCATACTTGATAATTGTACGAATCGTGGAGTAACTTTTCGTTTTGCATTCTTATTGATCGTTTTAGTTGAAATACATCACCTATTCGTTTCATCACATGCATTACCCCATAAGTATGATGCTCATGACGTGTTTTAGTAAATGATTTAGGGTGTAACACCGATGGTGTTACATTCATGCTATTACGATCGTCATGGGGGTGACGACCGCCCCCTTGCTCATTTAACACCATACCCGGTTCCGACATGGCGCGTCGCTAAGAGGGTTACGCCCCAACGGGATTTTTTTGGGTTTCATCTCCATAAAAGTGGCTAAGTTTTTACATTGGCTTGCCGCGCCACTAAGTTGAACACTCATGATGATGATGTTAACAGCTAGTTATAAATGCTTGTCATGTGATACTGTAGTTGGATCCGGAGCTTGAGTTTGATCGTGAGGTGTATCCTCTTGGTCTTCTTCCAAACGTTGGTGTGGTTGTTGGTGTTTCTCAGAGAATGTCCTTCTCAACTGCGGAGTTTCCATGCTTTGAGCCTTCACCTCAAGCCCAAACAATATTGCATTGTTTATTGCGACATCTCCTTCAGGTAAATCACCTTGCATTTGTTGATTGTATATCTCACATTTCCATTTGTATTCTAAGATGCCATTTATCTAGTGAGAAAACAGTTGGTATTACAAAAGGCTGGTGGTTAGGTGCTTGTCGCCTCATGGCTCCTGTGTCTTTGACATAATTGGCAGTAGAGGTGCTGACCACCTATAGTCAAGTTTTGGGTGGGCTGGCGTCACAGAGTTGGCGCTGGTGTGTGCGCAATGGAGTACTCATTGGGTGCTGCCTGCCTGGGGCATGCCGGGGTCAAAACAGGGGCAGAACTTTTGTAGGAGAGGGATCAAAGGGTTGGAGGACATTTTGTTCCTGTTGGAGGGAACTGGGGAGTGCTAGGGGATTAGGCTTTGAGAGCATTAGGTTCTCTCTTTTTTTTTTAAATGTTGATGTCAACATATTTAGTATGAGCATCGTGCTGCTCCTCTGGAGCTGGGTAGAACTTGGATACCAAGGAAGAATGAAGGAATATTTCATATAGTTTCGGGTTCTAATATTCATCTGCAGTAAGTTATGTAGCAAGGCTATTTTCTTTTGACCCAGAATCCCAGATTGTTTACGTCTAACATCTTAAAAAAAGTTTGTTACATAATGAAATTCTGTTCCTGATGGTGCGTGCTTCTCTGAGATCATTGCCTCCATTTTTCTTTTGACTTATTGGCGTAAAAACATTTTCTGATGCCTCTAAATTTAGTTATCCTATGTTAATTGTTTAAACCAGAGGGACAAGATTGAAGAAGGTTTGCGCTTGGCAAATTTGTCAGCAGAGAAGCCTCACTTCTCTCACTGTTTAGAGTGGCTTCTGTTTACAGTATTTGATGCAGATATATCAAGGTACTTTTTTTTCTAGCTTGCTATATTCTGAAACAAAGGTAGTCCTCCATTGCTTTAGAATGTTCCATCTATAATTTAGTGGCTTTGCTAGATGTACTCTGGTAAGTTCTTTTTCCCTGACATATGTTTTAATTACAGGCCAAGTGCTTCAAAAAATCAGGCTTCACAAAAAGTTGATCCTCCCAAGAAATCTCTTCTTGAGAAAACTTGTGACCTGCTACGGAATTTTCCTGAATATATGGATGTTGTAGTCAGTGTTGCTAGGAAAACTGATGGTAGACACTGGGCTGATCTTTTCTCTGCAGCTGGACGATCCACAGAGTAAGTGTACTGCCCGTCTATTTGAAATATGCATATTCCTTTAATTCACATCTTCAAAAGATTGAGAGCAATTAGCCTCGGGATTGATTGATTGATTAAAGGGGTACAGGGTACATTATATAGGCAAGGATCCCTAAGGGTTTATAGAAACACCCAATCAACGGTGATCCTTGCCTTATCAATCTATCTTAATCCCTAAGGTGCTTAACCGCACCGGCCCATAACAGCCCATTAGGGCGCCTATCGTTAACACTCCCCCACAGTCTAAACGTCAGCCACTTTGCACGTTTAGACTGGACCTAAACTCCGTGAACACCGAGGTAGGCGGTCCTTGGTGAAGATATCAGATATCGCGAGGAGGTAGGAACATGCGTAGAACTCGTAGATCACCAATGGCGACTCGCTCCCGGACGAAGTGAAGATCGATCTCAATGTGCTTGGTGCGGCGATGTTGCACGGGTTGGAGGTCATGTAGACGCCTTGATGTTGTCGCGATGACACCGGTGTGGCGCGCCAAGAGGGGCATGTAGCTCCAAAAGAAGCCGACGTGCTTGTGTCGCCTCTGCAACTCCATTAGCCATCTGCGCGATACTTTGGCTTCAAAGACTTGATCTTGATCTCGTATTCACGCGCTTGAAGACCAGAAACGAGATTGTCACCGAGGAACAACGCATAACCCGAGGTGGATCTGCGAGTGTCGGGACAACCCGACCAATCGGCGTCGCCACGTAGACAACAAGATCGGTCGAAGTAGTCGGTCGCAGCGGGAGACCGAGGTGGAGTGTGCCTGAACATAGCGAAGAATCCGCTTCGAGCAAGCGACAAGGTGAGGCTCTCGAGGGTCATGCATGTGGAGGCGCACTGCTGAACACCATATGCAATGTCCGGCGAAAGTGAACGTCAAATCTTCAAGAGCTCCGGCAAAGATCAAAAAAGTCTGTAGCATCGGATTACGGGGGCCCCTTCACCGCAAAACCTTAGAGTTGGTGTCAATCGGTGTAGAAACCTGGCTTGCACTCGGTCATCCGGCCACGATCTAAGATATCCAAAGATGTCTTGTCATTGAGAGAGAGGAGTCCACCACGTCATTGAACATGCATACCGAGGAAGTGATGTAGTTCACCAAGATCTTTCATGGCGAACTCCCGCTGAAGTGCTGAGATGATCCGCTGAAGAAAATCTGACGACGAGGCTGTGAGGACAATATCATCAACATACGACCAACAGTAGGTCAGGTATCGATCCATGTTGATAGATGAAGAGTGAGGTGTCTAACTTGGCTTCGACAAAACCCAATAGGCTGACAAGTAAGGCCATCCATCGTATTTCCAAGCACGAGGAGCTGCTTGAGCCATAGAGCGACTTCTTCAAGAGGCGCATAAAATCCGGATGGGTGGATCTTCAAACCGGACGGTCAAAAGCGATACTCTCATCTCGATCAAATTGCCATGAAGAAAGGCGTTCTTCACATCCACCGGTGAATGGGCCAAAGAGTGAGCGCTAAGGAGAGCACCGTCTGACAAGATGCGTGCTTCACCACGAAGTGAAGGTCTCATCAAAATCCACACCAAAGTCACCGGGTAAAGCCACGAAGAACCCAACGTGCCTTGTACCGCTCGAGGGAGCCATCGACCAAGCTTGTGCTTGAAGATCCACTTTCGGTGACAACATTGGCCCGAGGAGGACGGGCACAAGATCCTAGGTGTGATTCTGCAGAGAGCATCATGTTCTTCCTCCATAGCCGCCGCCAATTGGGGTTGACAAAGCGCTTCTGGAAGGTCTTGACACCGAGATAGAGGCACGGCGTGGTAGATAGCGGGCATCCATGGCAGCTCTTGACGGGTGCCCATGGAGTCTTTGGTTGACCACCGGAGAAACGGCAAAGAATCGCACCCTTAGGCGTGAAATTTCTTTATGCTGCAAGGGGGCGGTCTGCAGCGGAGTGAAATGAGGCGGCCGGTGTAAAGCAAATGGTGGCTCAGCAAGCGTAACCGACGCGATGTAGACGTCACGATGAAGTCGCGAGCCGTGGAGAGGTGGGAACCGGTGGTGGCCAGCAGGCGCCCTGCGCAGGGTGCCGGGAGCCCAGACGACGCAGGGGATGTCGCGCACAAGACGCAGCTGGCGTCGGGCGACTCGAGGTCAGCGCGTGGCGCGGAAGAGGGACTCCTGGTGGCCGCGCGTGGCGCGGTGGGTGTCCCGACACCCGCAGCGTAGGGGGGACGTAGAGCGCGGGCGTCGGAGGATCCTCAACATCCTCGGGAGGCTCAAGGGGCGCCCTAGGCACGGCCTCACGGGGACTGGCAGGGGCGCTGGTGGCGCGTGGTGCCTGGAGTTCTGCAGTAAACACTTGTGCGACGGTCCTATAGGAGCGGGCACAACATTAGTAGTGTCATTGGCAAGAAACTCGAGGTCTGCTGGAGTACTAGGACCATGGCCGCCAATGAAAAGGGAAGGCCGTTTCATCGAAGATGACGTCTTGGGAGATGATGACTCTATTGGATGATAGGTCAAGGCGATACCCTTTTATGATGAGTTGAATAGCCTAGGAAGACGCAGGATGACCTAGGGGCAAGCTTGTGAATGGCGATGGCGGACATGTTGGGATAACATTTGCAACCAAGACTCGCAGATGATCATATGTGGGTGGCTTGCCAAATAAGGCAAGATGAGGTGTGGAGAACTCTAGAGTCTTGGTGGGCAATATGTTGAGGAGAACGATGTAGTGGAGAGAGCCTCCACCCAGTAGGAGGGAGGCATGGACGCCTGAAAGAGCAGGGAGCGAACAACATTATTTATAGAGCGAATAATGCGTTCAACTTTACCGTTCTGAGACGAGGTGTAAGGGCAGGACATGCGAAGGTGGATGCCCTGGGTGAGGAAGAAGTGCCGCAGTCTTTGGAGTTGTCAAACTCTTTCCGTTGTCGCCTCAGACGGCTTTTGACGCTAACGCCAAATTGAGTGGAGGCGGGCGATGAATTGAGCAAAGCGTCTTTGAAAGTGTCGATTTAAGTCGTAAAGGAAATGTCCACAAATAGTGAGTGCAATCATCAAGAATGACCAAATAGTATTTATAACCAGAAATGCTGACAACTGGAGAGGTCCATAAATCACAATGAATAAGATCAAACTTGCTAGATGCACGAGAGGTGGACACATGAAAGGGCAGGCGAACATGACGCCCTAGCTGACAAGCATGACATAAATCGGAACAATCCTCTGAATAGGAATGAAACACTAGACGAAGCTTTGACAAGGCCTCGTGACCAGGGGATGCCCAAGACGCCGATGCCACAAAGGAGAGGAGCCCTGAGCGGCAAAGGAAAGTGCTTGTGGAAGGCGAAGTGGGTACAATGGCCCGGAGCTATTACACCGGACGATCTCTTTCCGAGATGGAAGAACCTTCACAGAACAACCAGTGGGGTCAAACTCAACAGAGCAATTATTGTCAATAGTAAATTGGCGAATCAGAGATAAGATTCTTAATAATTTGTGGCGACACAAGAACATTATTAAGACGTAAATTGGATGATAACTCTGTGGAGCCAGTGGCGATGTGATGAATAAGGGAGCCATTCACAACAATAATAGATGAAGGGTTAGGGTACCGCGGGAGAAGAACATGTGAAAGAGAGGAGGGATGAGATGTCATATGTGAAGTAGCACCGAGTCGGTACCACTCGTTGGTCGAAGGAGGGTCGGCCCGATGTCGTCTTTGAAGGCGCGGCATGAGATCCGTCGGGTCCTGGAAGGGAGGCCGGCCATAGGGTTGTAATACCGGAGCGACCCATCGTCCGGCCAATGGGCTGCTGGTGAGCAACAAGCGCTTTCTTCTTCTGTGTGCTGGCGAGGCAGGGCTTTCTTCTTCTGCGCTTCTTCTGCCACTTCTTCTTGGGCACAGTCTTTGCGCTTTGGAGGTGAGGGGCACCGGATGGGTGCCGAGGCGACGAGGAGCTCCCGCCACATCCGGATGGTGCCGGACCAGGATTGTAGAAGCCGGGCCAAGGCACCCCACGTATTTCTTCTTTGCTGTGTGGCGCCGTGGCGGCCGGAGCCTGGCCTGGCTACTTTCTGCTGCCTTGTCCTTTGCCACCGCCACCACGCTTCTTGCGGCAATGGTTGTTGGGAGTTTTGAGCCCCTCCAGCGCCTCCGAGAGCTCGCAGAAGGTGGAGGTGCCCTTGGTGGGAGAGTAGTGGAGGCGATGAGTGCAATGCTGGAGCCTCCTTGCGATTCGCCATGGTGAGTTCCTCAAGGATGAGGTCCTCACGGGCTTGGCTCGGCGGCGAAAAGCGTGCGGACGTGGGGCAAAGCGCTTCGTTGAGGCTGCGGATGACGTTGAGGACGAGGGGTGCGGTCGATGATGACTTCGCCGAGGGCCGTGAGATCATCGGCCATCTTCTTGACTTACGGCAAAGAAGACTTCGGTGACGGAGAGGTCGCCTTGGACGAAGTTATGAAACCGCGTCTCCAAATGAATGGAGCGAGCCTCCCGATTGCCGAGAAAATCGCGACTCGACAATGAAAGCCAGCGTCGTGGCCGTGGAGCCCCAAACACGGATGATCTCGCCGAATCATCCGTGAGCGTGGCGACGATCCAGACTTGACGACGCAGCCCATCCGCCCAATCGGGAGAAATCGAATCGAGGGTCTTCGCGGACATGGCCTCGGAGTGAAAACTGCCGAGGATGAGCGGCCCGTCGCACTAACGGTTGAAGTTACCGGAGTCGACGCGTCGAGGATGGTGGTGACGTGGTTCCGGATGTTGCCGACGGCGACGACCGTGAGTGGAGTTGGAAGCGAGGCCACGGCCTCGTGAAGCATGACCGCTGGAGGTCGGTCGGCGCAGGAGTTCCTCGAGGCGGCTGCGATGGCTCCTCCCCAAGACTCGGGCGCGATGCGATGTCGTGGCCCGCTCCATGGCGGCCTTGGCTGCGCGTCGGCGCGCACTGGGCCGGGCCGCCTCCCGCTCCTTGGCGGCGCCAGCAACTTCTTCTTTGCTTTCG